AGCCATTATTATGGCTGCCTTCCACTTAGCCGCGCGCTTTTTTTCCAGCATTTTCGCCGCGGCTTTCCCCCATTGTGAGATTGCGAGCCGGGCGGTCGGTCCTTTTTCGTCGAGTGTCCTGCGTGGGACTTTCACCATCGCCATTGCCGCGGCACGCTGCCTCTGCTCTTTATCTATTAAAACGCCTTCCAATTTGCATATTTCTGCAGCTGTAACAGCTGTCAACGCTGGACGCGACGCAGGACTTATTGTCGAAGGGATCGGGGATTGGGGAAGTTGTGCTGGCTCCTCTTAAGATAATGTTCGCCGGCCAGCGGACCCGCCGCCGCCTGATGTCTGGGGCAATGGAGTGAGCAAATTAAAGCCCCGGTCTGGAAACGCAAATCGGAAAGGGCTCCGGCTCCCAATTCGAGGGATACATTCTGAAACGGGCACACAGCAATGTGTTGATGTCCCCGTAATCACACACTGAACTCTCAGCATTTTCGTTCGCCGGGAAACTTTGAATAGAAATGGGATTACAAAAGAAAATGTCCTTAAGTTAGACATAAATAAATCAATAAATAAAATTTACTGCTTATTTCAATTGGGTTTATAATATTGTAATATATTTTGTTCATATTGTAATATATATACACAATAAAACCTTAATAACAACATATTTATTTTCACTGCAATATTTACAAATCAGTTTAATTCACTTACTAAACAATTTAAAAGTTCATAAAATTTCTCGGATAAATTTGTAAAATATTTAATTCAATGTTTCACGTTTAAGAATTTGTTAATTTCATAAATTTATTATTTCTTTCAGCTTAAAAATAATTTTAATTAAAAAAATAAATGTTTTAAATTTCAATTGTTTTTTCCAAAATAGAGAATTGATCACAGGGTATTATAAGGTCCACTCCTTAAAATGTTTGTTGTCCAGCGTACTTTGTATCGTTTTATTCGGTTTTATGCCATTTTATTTCGTTTCTTTTGCTCGCTTGTAACGCTGTCACATTACCTACATCAAGTGTCACTTTAAAACGCATTTTTCTTTCACTTTCACCCCGCTCGGGTCTCATTTTGAAGTGTTGCTCAAAGCTGTCGCCACTTTGCTTTATCTAAAGACCGTTTCGCCCCCCAATTTCCTTTCAGTTCCAGCCTGTCCGATTTCGTCCCTCTGGTGGTCCCTGCTCGTGTTTGTAAACAATTCGAGGCACATTAAGTTCCAATTAAGTAACATTCCAGGCAAATCAGAGGCCCGGCCTCTGGCATTTGTTTATGCTGTTGTTGGCTCTGTTGTGCGGGGACAGCAGCAGCAGCAACAGCAGATTGCTTTGTTAATATTAATTTGTCATTAGTTTGGCTTACGAGCCGTCTCGTTTAAAATGCATTGATAGGCCAAGTGGCTTTTATCACAGCTACGGCTGCGAGCTGTGTACATAGCCACTGGTTTTGTCCTTCGGTCGGTCCGTTGGTCGTCTTGCCTTCAGATAGCTGATAAGTTTAATGCGCTTTAAACTGTTTGGCTAGAAGCTTGCGGCCAGCTTCGAGATGGGGCCCAAATCCCCCCTTTAGGCCATGGGCAGCAGGGTCCTTTTGAAAACTAGGCACAACTGTTGCTCCGGCCACTTTGCTGATGAAAGAGTGCGAAGGATTTCGGTTGCGGCCCAACCGCAGCCTCACCTGCACCCGACTCAGGTTCCCATCCCTTTCCATTGACTTCCACACTCAAAAAAAGAATAAACAAATCTCTTGACCCTAATTTAAAATTTTATATTTTTTTTTAAATATTTGATGTTTTTATTATTTGTTATTAGTAAAAACTTTTTACAAAATATACTGTGTTATAAGAGTATTTAATTTGAGTTGAAGCGCGTTTACTTTAAACATACATACATAATATCAAAAAACCTTCTCCTCTTTGTCATTATTTAGGTCACATTTTCATACCCCAGGCAATATGTACAATCTGAAAATGTTTTAAAATCAATATAATATTCTAAACAAATATTCTATGTGTAGTACAAAATCGTCTACAAAATATATATTTAGTAGCTAGACCAATATTAACTATAATAATGTATATATAAAATGTATATTTATTGAAATTAGAAAATTAAACATTTTTTTTTGTTATAAAATGATTTTCTATAAATATTTTCACTTTTGTGTCTATTTAGGTTTCATCAGTTATATTTGCTTCAAAATTTCTCAGTGCAGCCTTTGCCTTATCTGGTCATCGGTTGAGGACCTTAGTGTCCTTTTCTTAGGTTGCCACTTTGATGGACAGATCTTGAAGCACAAGCCATAGAGATTTCATTTTCCGCACCAAGTCCTTTTCGCTGGACTAGATCTCTCTTTCTGTGGCTGTGGCTGTGCTTTTGGCCGGCCATCATCTTCTTTTATTTTTATTTTCATCTGCTTTTTTTTACGCTTCAACACGGACTATATATGTATTTTTATATAAACACTGGCACACACAGCACTCAAAGGCTTCGGCCTCAAGTGTCGACGTTTTTTATTTCACGCTACTTTGAGCTGATACACATGCAAATACACACACATTGCGGGGGCCACAAAGCGTAAAAATGTATAAAGCTTATGCCAACTGGCAACCCGTTCGGCCCACTGCCTTTAGTCAGTCAGTCAGTTTAGTTTAGCATACATACTACATACCATTCCCCCTACCTCCCCCCACACCGACCAAACTACGCATAAAAACCAAAATATATATACATAGATATGTTTTCAATTCAAACAGCCACGGCAACCGCACCATCTGGCTCTCTGAATAGAGCTAAAGAGTGGAATATGGCTAAAAAGGAAGGTGTTATCTGATTGCCATTTTAAACACAGCGCCCGCTGCAGCGATTTCGAGTGCAATTGGTAAAGCACTGGCCAAATCAAAAGCGAAGCCCACTGAAAGGCGAGTCGAGCGCATAAAAAGCAGCAGGAGATTCAGGATTCAATGAATGGCTCGGCGGTTCCAGTGTTTTCATAGTTTCCAGAGGCGCCACATAACACCCACCCCCGCCCCCCGGCGAGTGCCCACAGAGACATTAAAAGATAATCGGCACCAAGTAGAAGCGCAATCAGAGTCCCCGAAGAGGATGAAAGACCAGCGGACACATTTCGTATTTGTCAACGGATTGTCAAAGCCAAGTTGTCAAACGATGAGATTTCTTTAAGACCTGGGTACATAAGCTAGATCATCCGATTTGGAATATTAGGAGTATGCTAAGGTTTAAATTCAGTATTGTAGGTATAATACTACTAATATCCTTATCTTATGAAAGCTTAAGCTCCTATTTATTTTGATTTTATGAACTTTACTCTATTCGTATTAAATTTATTGGATTTTTCGGTTTCGGGTAAGTAACTAAATTCTCTAAATTAAATATATATTTTCCACAATTTATTGATTTATAATAAAAAAGATTAACTTCCTAAGTTTAAAACTGTTCTTATATCTTACTATTATTATTTTACTTTCAATTTATTGATTTATAATAAAAATTATTTAATTTTCTAAGTTTCTAACTGTTTTACTTTTTATTTTTTTTTTTTACTTTATTAACATAAAAAATATAAATTTTTTGTTTATTATTTTATATTTAAAAATGTTGTAATATTATCAAATTAAAAGTTTGTGTACTGCCATTAGCAGCACGATAATATTTGCCAGTCAAGAAGTCATTAGGAGAAATTGATTAATAATTTACATTCAATTACAACAATTATGAAGTCAACCAAGAAGACTAAACGGCACAATTAGTTGACGACAGGTCGCTGTGAATTATTAAAGATTCCCACCACACAGGACATGCAAATACTGATGACTTTATTGGCCGACTGCAGCTCGTGTCGCTTTTCGTTCCCGTTTAATTGAAATAATAATTCATGCTCACGTAGCTCGTTAGGGCATCGGACATTTCCCCCTTTTTCTTGGTCTGTGTTGCTCTGTCTGTCTGTTGCTTGTTTTTCTGTTTGCGTACGCTTTTCCGACCGAACTCGTGTGTGTGTGTTTGCCTACACTGAACGAAACGGACTGCGTTGGAAGGGCAACGGGGCGTATGTGCAACGCAAGTCGTTTAAAAGTCACACACTAATTAAACGGCACTCGGACACTTCGCTCGACCGACTTGTGAGTGTATGGTGGGTGTGTGGTATCCCATGGCATAGTGCTTACACTATCGGCAATTAAAATCTAAAAAGAAGCCAGCTCTTCCTGTCTGCGGAGGCGAAAACCCCTATCCGATGATGTCCACAAAGCTGTCAGCTATTTGCTTAAGCTTCTCCCCTTTATAAAAGTAAATGATTGAGCTCCGGTTAGCGCCGAGCAGAGCTGTTCAAATAATGCTGCGGTACACCACGCTAGATTTTAATGAATGAAAGCGATAATCGCTTTCAATTGCACAGCATTGGGACGCTTCAAACGAGCGCTGGACACTGGGCAAATAAACACCGATATCGTGGGGCCATCAAAGTGAGACATTTGTTTTGACTACAACGATTTATATGACATTTTACAGAGAGTTTTTATCTTTAACCAAAGTCTGGGATCCAAAACGAGGCAAGCCCTAAAAAATTATATTTAACTTTAAAAAATACTAATAAATAAATACTTTTATATCAGTTATAAAAACTTATTATTTCTGTTAAATAAATATTAAAAATATTCTGAATATGTGAAGATAATTACTATTGTTAGGAGCATAAAATTCGTTTTAAATTTTAATGCAAACCCTAAAAATTATATATAACGTCTAAAACTAACAATCAAAATAAATGTCACCCCTATTAACCTATTTTTCCTGTTGATTATATAATAAATATATTCGGAATATGTCAAGATAATTAAAATTGCTCCGCTTTAGGTTTTTATCTGATATTTTATTTATTTCAATCTGTAAAACAAATTTTGGGCTGAAAAGATGGTATTTTTTATTCACATTTTTCAGCCTGCTTAACCACAATCACATTACTATGTCAAATAGCCGGCCGAGGGATCATTAGGTAATTCCAGCTTAGTTTACCACACAGCTAAACCTCCCAACAAATTTGAATAAATTTTTTAAGTCAAGTTTTGTCCAAGGGTTTTTCGTTTATCGTATTGGTTTTTTATTTCGTATAGCCACTTAAGCGAATGGGGAAAATGGACTAACGCCATAGATGCCGCCGGCGGTGGCACCAAAGCCGCCAATGGCCGGATATCCAATATTATAGCCACCGCCATAACCATAAGGACGACCATAATATCCGCCCGCCAGTCCCAAGCCGCTGGAGCCGTACAGATTGCCGTAAGGATAAACCGAAGAGCGTATGCCGGCGTAGCTTCCATAGCCCCCGTATCCTCCTCCGTAGCCCCCGTACCCTCCATAGCCTGTTCCATAGCCTCCGCCGTAGACTCCTCCTCCATAGCCTCCGCCCAATCCCAATCCCAAATAGGGATTGAGAATTTGGCGACTCAGTCGCTCGCCCCTTTCGCTATCCTCCTCCGCTTTTCCGGACTCATTTTGCTGCAGCGGTTGGCCAACTGTTGCGGCGATTAGCAGCGCATATAATCCAAATAAAAACCAGCTACGCATTATCCTTATGGCTCCTTGAACTCCTGGTCGCTTGACTTTATCGGTGTGGCTTTATGATTGCTCCGCGTACTCCCTTTGCCGTTTGCTCTGGCTAACTGTGACCTGGCCAACTCGCGTCCGGTGTCTTTATAGGCTAGAACTTTGGGCATAAAATGGAAACTTTTGTTTCGCGATTTCCCTTGCTTGAACTTCATCTGTTTGTTTTGCGGCCGCCGCTTGTTAGCAAAAATTAGATGCTAATGTAAATGCCATAAAACAAACTATTAAAATATGCCAGTACGATGCCCCCAGCTCCCAGAAAATGCCAGTCCGCTAAAATGGAACAAAAAGCCAATTCATATGGTTGGCCCGGGTACTTTTGGTGGCACGCTAAGTGGCGCTCATGAAATCGAATGGCGGCCAGTTTGGCAGTTTAAAGAGCAAAACATTTCACTTTGCGGCGGAACCAACTTCTGAGCAGTGTTGGCCACTTCAGATTACAGCAAGTAGCCAGATTGAAATGCGTTTTGGAAATGGGGATTTATTAAAAAATATGCATTAGTTGTTAAATGTAAAAACTGGTAGTTTTTTACGTGACAAACGAAATATAAAAAGAGATATTTGACGGTTGACGAATGTAGGGGTACCACAATTTTTAAAATTGTTATTTCAGAAAAAAAAGAGAAAAAATAAAGCAATAGAGAAAAAAGCTTAAAATAGTCCTTATTTTATTACCCAACAAAAGATGTTCATAGAATACTAGATCGGAAAAATAGTTTTTATTTTATTTTTAATTTATTTATTCTATTTTTATCTTAATTTATTTGTTTTTAACTTTTTTAAGTAAAATATAACCTTAATAAATATTCTTAATGCTTTTGAAATCATTTACGAAGGTGACTAAAAATATGCAATGCATTTTTACTTTCCGTATTCATCTATTTCGTTTCTGGACTATGCATTTTTTGTGGGATACTTTTAGACAACTTTAAGTGATTTCCCAAACTCCAGTGGTTTCTGCGGCTCCCGCGATAATTATGCTTTTTGCAAAGTCAAACTTTGGCTATGAAATCGCCAGGTTGGCCACTCTGGTTCTGCGGTCAGGTAAGCTGTGTAAATGTGCTAATTTCATTTGAAGGTTAGTTATGCTATTGACCAGGCTCAGACCCATTCCCATACCCCATACCACATCCCATGCCATACCATTCCCATTCCCAGACTTTCGGTAGACGCCTCCAACTTTGGGGTGCGTAAGTGTGAATTGCTGTTAGCTGTTGCTCTTGTTGTTTGCCGAGTTTCGGCCAGTTTGCCAGTTTGCCAGTTTGCCAGTTTGCCGGCCAGCTTGTTTGCCTGTTTGCTGCTGTTTGGCTTCGCTGTTTGTTTTATGAACGCGGGCCGGCCATTAACAATGCTCGATGGCTCTATAGACGGCGTGAATAGCTCTCAATTGGTTTATTGCGGTTTTCGGCGCATGTGTTTTTGTCCGGCCAAAATCCGCTGTCTAATCCAAAGGCAAAGCTGCGGCATTTTAATTCATTTATGCAAAACGCGAAATCTCTCTACCCATCTCCATTTCGCTGCCCAAATTTGCTTATTCAAATTTAAACGCTTTTAGCCAGTCCAGAAAACTGGGTCAATTAACGATGTCAACGTCAAAATGATGCACATTTTGCGACCCACTCCTCCTCTTACAAAACCTCCCAGCCTCCCAAGCCCCCCGAGCTATCCCCTCAGCTCCACGAACTTCACTGGATGGCGTAAACTTCCGCATAAATTTCCCAACGAGAGACTGCAACGGGAAACTCAATGAGAGAAAAAGAATCTCAGACGCGGCATAAATTAAAAATACACTTTTTACCCGACCTGGCGAAAAAGTATTTTGACTATGATTGTCATAATCAGTGGAGAAAAAGTGGAGAAGCAAAAAAAAAGAACATTCAACTTAAAAAAGGCCACGCAAACATTTACCCTAAAGTATTTCACCGCCCCCCAAAAACGGACCGAATGGCGATTAGTAAAATTACTAATTTACATTGGCCAGGTGTTCAGGTGCTGGGTAACTAATTCATGCTTTTTGGGGTAGGGTTCTAGACTATTTATGTGCCGGTATATTATTTTGCAGAATGTAAATTCATATTTTATTAGACCCTACAACCTTTAAACTGGAATTTTAATTTTATTCTTTACAAAACCTAATTGCTACAGGTTTTAATGAAAATGAAATGACCATGAATTAAATCTAAAAACGTGTAGAAATAAATTAAATAATGGATCTTATAATAAAAACCTATAGATTTTTAGTGTTTTTATAATTAGTTTAGATTGTAAATTTGTAGCGAACGAAAAATTTCTAAAATATATGATTTTACGTTCAATATTAAAATGTTTTTACCTTTTTAAGCCGGTAAAATGTTTTCTTTTTTTAATGCGAGTCCCCCTTAAAAAGTTTTTAATATTTTCTTGCTTGCATTTTGTTTGTTACTTCTTTAGAAGTTCAACACAAAGTTTCGCTTCTACTCAGAAGGATGACTATAATGTTGTGAGAAACGTAGGCAGTCTTGTCATTTTCTTTACCCCCGTTGAACTTAACTGCCGTTGACGATGGTCGGCAATTGACGGATGACAGGTCAGACGGCAAATCAGTTTAATACATAAGTTTCAGCCGTAGCAGATTTATTTTACCGGCCACTTGGAGTGAATAATTGAATTAAAAGTTTTGTGATCCTTACTTGTACCCTGTGAAAATTAGACACGCTATTGGATTGACCCTGATTACATTTATTAAATAATTGCTTAAAATTATTAAGTTAAATGAAAATAACTCAACATGATATCTTCAAAATAAAAACAACTTTATTCAAATATAAGTGGTTTGGTTATAACGATAAAATATATTTTAAAGAGCATCGGAAAACTTGTTTTCTACTTTTTATATAAATTTCTTTTTGAATTTTAATTTTGAAAGTTAAGTGCTGGGGATGCAAAATCCAGTTATAAAATAATATAAGAACGAAACGAGTTGATCTGAAATTGTGCTAACCACTGAGTAAGCTAATAACCGAGATGAGTCAGTGCGTCAGTCAGTCAAAATGAAAACGACAACATTGATGACATTTAAATAACAACCAGTTGCGTCGACTGTTTACCCTTAGATTTTAATTAAGTCAAACAAACAAAACAAAATACCTCAATACCCGGCTGGAGAGCCTTACGAAATCTGAAAGATGAATGGATACGCAGGGGCAGAGGCCCACTTGAAATGGTGCTTCCCATGAACACTTGGCCACTTGTCTATCGATCTGTTTTGTTGTTCGAGCCAAGAAACTTGAATGTTTTGCGCATTTGAATAGTCGTCGAGTCGAGACTGAGACTCTGGAGAAAGCCCATCATGAACCGGCTGGCCACTTCAGACCTCCTCTTTCTTGGGGTGTTTGCCAAAAACTTTGGCTCTTCTTCAGCTTCTGCTCTGTTTTTGTTGCCTAATAGGTTTTGCGTTATTATTATGGGTTGTTGTTGTTGTTCTTGCTTAGCGCTTAGCCAGACAGTTAATACGATTCGCCTCTGCCCGCATATTCATTTCGGTTTCTGGCGTAACACTCGCAACTTTGATGTTCCGCCCCCCGGTCGAACCACTTCTACTTTTATACGCTTCCTCCGCCAACGAAGCCAACAGTCGATAAATTCCAAATCATATAAATTGCCCGGCCGCAGAGCAGAGTCTTCATAGAATCCATCGAAACTTTGTCGGTGATTAGTGGCAGAAGTTTCATCGAAATGCGCACATTTGTTTGCCTCGCCCTGGCGACCATCCTTCTGGTCGCCGGCTCTTCAGCGGCCACATATGATCCTGCGGCCCAACTCCTAGCCGTGGATGCAGGTGTCCAGGCTCCAGTGGCCGCACGGCAAGTTCGTCAGTTTGGAGGCGGATTCGGAGGAGGTCCTGGAGGAGGAGGCTTTGGAGGAGGTCCAGGAGGAGGCTTTGGAGGAGGACCAGGAGGCGGCTTCGGCGGTGGTGGCTTTGGAGGTCCAGGAGGCGGCTTTGGAGGAGGCCCAGGAGGTGGCTTCGGAGGCGGTGGCTTCGGAGGACGTCCAGGAGGCGGCTTCGGAGGCGGTGGCTTTGGAGGACCAGGAGGCGGTGGTTTTGGAGGAGGTCCAGGAGGCTTTGGAGGCTTCCGAGGCTAAAAACCAAACCAGCAATCATCATCTGTGACTGACTTAGCTTAACCCACTAGAAATAGAATGTGTAATTAAAGTGCAATCAAGCATGTTCTAATTAAGTTCGAAATACATTGGCCTCGATTCTTTGATTCACTTAATTTCCTTGTCATTTGCATGGCTTTAAGTGATTGGGCCAGCTATTCAGAGTTAAATGTTGTTTGCAAATGCACTAAAAGAAAAAAATAAATCTAAGAATGATTTTAGAAATCTAATAAAACTAAAAAAATTTAAAAATTAAATTTCATAATCATCAAATAATATTGTGTTAACAATTCTACAGAAGAAGGATCAGAGACTTAAAATAATTTAAAAAGGAGCTTAAAAGTATACTACGACATAGTTTCAAACCGCTCGTTATTTTTTAGCAGCATACTTTAAGACACCTTTAAAAAATGCTATCAAACCTCTAGATCTTTAATCCAGTTTATCCTTGCACTCTATGAGTGCAAAAGAGTGAAGATTAATTTGATCGCTTTTTTTTCGTTGCCTGTAAATCAGCATTTAATTCTTTCGCTCGCCGTTTGTTTGCTTTTCCCTATTTATAACAAAGCAATCCATTGAAACTTTGCCTCGGCTGCTGCCACTGGCGTCTGCTATCTAACTTGCCAATCGCGCTGGCTCGCCAAAGTCGTTTAAGATTAAACGTTTGCTGTAAAAATTCCCTTTTGACAAGCGCCCTTTTATTGTTAAAAAATTAACTTGGCTTTAAATTTACGCCTTTTGTTATCCCTTGACCTTAGCGCAGAGGACGTCCGCCCACACGACCGCCCACCCACTCATACAAGGGTCATACGCCAACATTGATAAAAGTTTTCGTTTTTCTCGTTGCCCCATCGCCCCTTTTCATTTTTTTCTGGCTCGTGAAAAATTTCTTGTTACTAGAACGCAGTCTTGTAAAAGGCTTTGTTAGTCTACACTTTCACGGTATACTTTGCGAACTTTGTTAAAAGAGGACTTTCCATTCTTTTTATTTCGCTCTTTAATGACTTTGCATAGTTGGGGTTAAAAGAATTCAACAGTTTTGGAGTCAAAAAAATAAACTAAATTCGTATCTTTTAGCTTTTAGATAACTCATTAATTAAACAATTTATAAGTGATAAAAGTTTACACTTGTAAATTAAACATAGACAATTATTATAATAATATTTGGTTTGTCATTAATTTCCATGGAAAATTTATATATATTAATGTTTTAAACATTTTACATATCTATAAATCAAAGTCCTTAATAGAATGTTATATCAAGAAAATGAAAGTTTAAAAAATAATTATTATATTTATTGAATTACAAATTAAAATAATTTTTAAAGATAATTAGGACTTTTCTAAGTGATTTTCAAATCTTAAAAAATCTTTATCAGAGTATAACCGATTCGATTACCTCTTGTTTCCATCTGCTTCTTCTCCTTTTTAGCCATTTTAGCGGAGCTGTTCTTATCGAAATCGTGTCTCAATAAATCTACGGCACCTTCGAATACACACCCGCCCACTTTTCGATGACCGCCCACCCGAGGGCAACGCCCAAGCAGCTGGCAGCCGATGCTGTGGGAAAAGCGGGAAAAAAATATATCGGAAGAAGCCAAGAAAAGCCGTTCGAACTGATTATCCATGTTGACCGTCGCGGCAGCAGCCGCAGCTGATTGATTTGTTATTGAAAATATTAGGCCTGGCCCAGAAGGGAAAATCGGGGATCCCAGAAGATGGGGATCTGTGGGGAAATGTGAGTAGGGGAGTGACGTGGAACGTGCTGTGCGTTTGGATACGCTTGAAACTTTTATAACTTTATGAGGGCGTTGTAATTTGATATCGCAAAGTTTTTTTTATTGCCTTTTATAGCCTTATAATTTGGCCGCGATGTTGTTACCATTGTTGTTGTTGCAGTTGTTGTTCTTGCTGGTGTCGCCACAAGAGAGATTCTGAGCCCGGTTTCTTGGCCCATCGGGCGTATACTTGTTGTTTGTGGCGGCTTTTTGTTTACACGTTATTTATGGCTTATAAATACGTATAGCTTTTTTGGTGGGGCGACGGCGCTTGGGGCGGATTTTCTGAATTGTAAACAACTCACATGTGGCCTGTACTTAAGAAATCTCTTAATGAGCATTAGATGTCGGCAAATGAAATTACCCATATGTGCAGGTTTGTGAGCTTGTGCTTTTGTAATTGGATTTCAGACGCTTTACCTTTTCTAGTCCCGTCATCCAAATGACGGCACACATTGATTTCAACATTATTTAATTTTGCATTCTCAAACATACATATGTATGTGATTAGTTCTAATTAAATTCGCAGATGGGATTTCCACCTACTTCAAATGATACAAAAAGTACCGAAAAAATCACGAGAAATAGATATTAACAGTTTCTTTGCTTTTTTAATTCGAAATAAGTTTAATCTTATAAGACTTCGTTAGAAGTACCGCCAATTGACGTAATGGCATGATATTCCGATTCGCTTTGTATTCTAATAATTTAGATTTATACATTTTTTTAAAACTCAAATCTAACAAAAGTGCGTTGTATCTTTAAATAGTTAATTAGTAGGTATATAATTATAATTTATTTAAATAAGTTTATCTATCTTAAATAACAAATAAATGTATCATTAGTTTGGTAAGATAGATTTTGGGGAATTAATGTCGCATAGCAGCTAACAGGGATTTTTGAATGATTTTGATTATAATATTTGAGTTTCTTTATATCATTTAAATGTAATTAAGTTAATTCCTTAATAATTTCTATTTTCTAATCGTCTTTTAGTAAATCATTTGATTTAATTTCACTGGCACCCTTTTCGCCTTATTGGTGTTTTTTATTAATTGACCTATCAGAAAGGAGTGGGTAAAACCTAGAACAGGTTGTTTGCGCTGCGCAGAAATGATTTTGTTATTTTCTCTTTTTTCCCGCCCCATCCGAGTTGTTTACAATTTCAGCTCGAGGCTCTTGAGAGTCGGGGGTTTTCTTCGCCATTTGATTATGCTCAGGAAATTTAATTGTTTAAGGTCGTCGGCACACGCAGAACTCGTTTAGAACCCCACAGTCATCTTGAGTCGCCTCGAAAGCTATATAAACCGATATAAAGTCTAGGCGGGGGATCGGCCCGACTGTAGTGAACTTTTAGGTGATCCAGACAACGGAGCGATGCGCGTTTACCACTTGAATCTATTAGTGCTAAGTGCCGGCCTTTTGGTCCTGCTGGCAAATTCAAGGACCACGGCGGCGGCCCCCCAGGCGGATGTGGATGTACAGCAACTGACTCTGGCGGATGTAAATCAGGCAGCGGAGCAGCAGGAGCAGCCGGCTGTTCGCCTGGCCAGGCAATTTGGATTCGGAGGCGGCCGAGGAGGATTCGGCAGAGGCCGCGGAGGATTCGGCGGAGGACGAAGGGGCGGCGGAGGATTCTGCTGCGGCGGCGGTGGGTTCCGGAGACCCGGATTCGGAGGAGGATTCTACCCACCACCGCCTCCGCCGCCGCCCTTCTTCGGCGGCCCCTTCTTCGGCTAGGTGTTATTAATTTAATGTGCATACATGTGATACGATCAGACCAGGATTAGCTGCTAATAAATCAACACGAGCTGCTGCTCTAATTACCCGACCAAGTGCTGAGCCAGTTTTTTATGTGTACGGTTACGAGTAACCCCTCTTTTTTAATTCCCATCCCAGGTGCTTAGCCGACTTATATATGGGCTTTAATTTTATCTTTAGTATTAATGGTATATACATACTTGAAAGGATGAACTTTTAACGGTAAAATATAGAAATAATAAAAAAGTATCAAATTATGATTATAAAATTATTAACCCTGCATAATTATTAAGGTTAATTTCAGTTTTTCTAAATTGATTTTTATTAACATAAATTAATAGTAATTATTTGAAATATCCAGGAATTTATTTAATTTGTGAATTTCTATATAAATTTAATTAATTTTGTTTGGTGTAATATCGGACATCTATTACTTTTTTTTAATGCGAAAACAGATTATTAAAGATAGGTTTCAACCTGGCAGAGGTTTTTAATAAATCAAAAGAAGTAGCTACTCTAATTGCGAAAGCAAGTACTTAACTTGTTTTCGCTGCTAAAGCTCTCTGTATAAATCCCATAAATAGCTCCGACCAAAATATGATTGTAATAAACAGAATTAAGATGAGTTTGCTACGCTGCCTCATATTTTTAATTTTTGGAGCACTGCTCGTTAGAAATGCAGTGTCTGATGATTATAAATCAGAGGACCACAACGAACAACAATATCATCTGCCCGATGAAGTAAAAAATATGGACGAATCTGTAGAACGGATACGACGTCAGATTGGAGCTTTTGGAGTTGGCGCTGGAGTTTTTGGAGCAAGGCACTATGCACCTATTGGTAATCCCTATTTTGGAGGTCCACTTGGCAATCCCTACTTTGTTCAGCAGCCCTATGGTCATTATTTCCATGATCGGAGATTTGGAGGAAATTATGGAGGAGGCTTTGGTGGAAATTTCTACGGTCGTTGAGACCACTAGACTCATTTTCTACTCAATGGCATTCAATGTCGACTTAATAAAGTTAAACATTAAAAAGTATAAACCCAGTGGATAAAAGGGTTGGCTGGGAAATGGGATGGGGATTTTACCCAAGGGCGATGCTGGAATTATAAAAATTTCATTTCAAATCACGTTGAGTGACATGCAGACTGAGCACAGGACAAGAAAACTTAATCAGCGATGTTAACGATGTCAGGCTGCGGGAAACAGGATGTCATTCTGTACCATCAAATGGCTCCATTCCGGGTCGCGTACTCGTATTTTATTTCGCTCTCTACTTTCTTTTTGGCGCTTACTTTTTTTCTTTTCTTTTTGTATTTTCTAATTCATATGCGTTTCAAGTTTTAATTACGTGGGAAAAAAGCGAATGAACAAACGAGCGGGTGCCATCCAGGGACCCAAAGCCAGGACCACGGGCAGGACTTCTCCGCTGACTCCGTTTGGCTTGACTGACTGACAGACAGACGGAAAGACAGCGGAGGACAGCAGCAGAGCAGCAGAACATGAAAATAACAAAATACGCCCAATCAGCCCAGCCAGGACGGAAGCGAGACGATACACAGAGGGGCAGACGGACCTCGAGACCTAGAGACAGACAGCCGCAGACCCGCAAAAAAAGGGCAAAAAAATTAAGTAGCAAAATCAGCGGGTCGAAAAAAAAAAATATATAAAACAGAAGGAACTGGAGCCCCCAGAACAACACAAATACAACAGGATAAAGGCGTTGCATGCCAAGGATAATCCGTGCTGCGCTCGTACAAAGACGAAACTCGCGGCTGACAGACGCGGAAGAAAAATGGTAGCACGCAAAAATTGTGAACTCACTTGACGTGGCTCATTCTGGCTGAGCTGGTACTCCACACAATGAGAAAATTATAAGAAGTTAATCAAAACTAGGAAATAACCGCAGGGGAAATTCTCTATGGGAAAATTTAGGGTCTAACAGTTGTTTATAAAAATGTTATCTTACTTAAAAAAACAATTTCAAAATAGTATTTGTGTTTTTATGTCTTTATTACCTATTATACCTTTTATAATAAAAGGCAAAAAATACTTTTAAAAACTTGAATTTTATACTAATCCAAAAACTTCTAGAAATGAATGATTATTAGCTTTTTATAAATTTAAACTTATTGCGAAAAACTTGTTTGAAGGACAGAGATCCAAAAAATTAAATTATTATGCTCTATTAAAGTTGCTTTCTAAGACATTTTCTTTTTCTCAGGACTAACAATTTTAAAGATAGTAAAGATTTTTTCAGTGCACTCCCCCTTGCCGCATCCATTTTCCACCCACTGCCAAATGGCATGACGACGTTGTTTGGTGTTGACGTGTTTGTGTGGGTAGAATGGGGATGGAGTGGGTGGCATGGGTGGTCATCCCTTGTTAGCTGCGTGTGGCGGCCAAATCAGCGCTCCTTTCGTGGCTTGGCCAGAAGATGTGGCCATAAGCATAAATATGCACGAGCCCCTGGCAACAACAGCTGGCCAAATTGCTCTGTGCGTGCGTGCGTATTAAAAGGGGGAAGATTCTGGGGCAGCAACCAGAAGGAGAAAAAACGAGAATAAATATCTGGGTAATTAACAATTACAATGATGCGAGAAAATTCTGTTGGCCAGCTAGCCCGGCCAGCTAGACCAGGTCCTAACGCTTGGCTGCCTGGTTAACGGACTGCTTGAGTGACTGACAGTTGCTATCAGAATGTGTAAGCCTGTCCGTCCATCTGTCCTTCCGGCTATCTGTCCGTCTGCGGTTGTGGCCCATCAGTGCTGTTACTCCATCATGCTGACATTCCCACAGATGCTCCGGTTATTTTGACCAGTGTGAAATAACAATGCGAATAGAATGGGGTAATAACATTATCGTCAGCAGTTTGCAGCTTTCGCCAAAAATCACCCATTAAATAAAAATGAAGCAAATGTAATGGCATTAGGGGGATTTATGTATACGAAATTATATATATTGAAATTAGAATACGATAATTTTTTTCAATAACAAATAAATCTTACGTTACTATATATTAATAATATATTTTAATTTTCCAATAACGATTTTTTATGTGTGTACTTTCTCCTTTTTAAAATATTAAATATTTTTACATAAGTCTTTCAATATTTTTAAAGCTATACAGTGCACTTTACATCATAAATAAACCAGCGCATTAATCCTTCGGTTTGAAAATTTTCATTGCATTCTTGTACTTTTGATAAGTTTATGGTCGGATAAATCCGAAAATTGTCTTTATTTGAGGTGTATTTATTTTTCAGTAAATGGTAGACTGTTACCTATTGATTGGCTTGCTAGGTAATTGAAGTAGTTTATTGTTTCATTGCGTTTTCTGTATGAGTACTTTTGGGTCTAGGTGAAAAACAATTATAATAACCTTAGGAAAGCAGTTCAAATGATTTAAGTTAGAACAATAATAATTTATTTAATCTGCATTCCCTTAAAGCATTAGCCGGGTAATCAAATTAGCGCGGAAAGGATTATATTAAATCGTATATATTTCAGTCGAAAAATAGATAAACTTTTTAACGAAAAACCCATTAAACGAAAGCGTGTTTTAATAAACTTTAATTCGCAGCCTGACAGGAATATCATATAAATTAGCCAACGTAGGGGAAAAGCACTCTGAATCCCCAACCTCCCAACCTCCAATCTCCCAACCTCAACACACTTTGGCCAGATTAAGGATGATTTTATTTTGGTTTCGTTGTGTGCACTCCCGCCTACCATGTTTAATTGTATTTGTGGCGATGGCGAACACACACACTCTGAAACGCAAACACAAATACTCGTGCACAGATGGGCATGTAGGCACATCCTGCCGCAAAGTTTCGCTGTTGAAAAATCTAAGAAAAAATCCCTAATTAAACAGTTTGTCAGTAATGCAAATAAACTTTGCTAAACTTTCTGCCCACAGTCAACGAGCGCGTTTCGTCTCGTTTCGTTTCGTTTCCTTCTTCCTCTGCTTGTTGCTTATTATTCTTTGGTTTCTTTCTTATTTCGAATTTCCCCCTCTAAGAAACAATTTTTTTTTGGTCAAGCACACAAAAATGTAATTATTAAAAAATTATGCTAAACACGCAATAAAAAGTTGGTAAGAGAAAAAAATATAAAATTAACGAAGAAAACCGACGACAGGACAGTGCACAAGGAAAAAATGTATTTTTAAAAGGCAAACGGTCAAATTTATATATTTGTAATATTTTTTTGCGTTTTGTTCAACTTTGTGTTGTGTTCATTTTACGTTTTGTTTTGTTACCCGCCCGCATGATGGGCAGAAGGAAAGCATAAAAGAAAAGCGAGGCTAGCAACAAGAGCAAAATTAACAATTGTTAATTTGAAAATTGCACACAAATGCGTAATGCGAAAGTTTTTGCGCTCCGCCGACGGACAGCAACCCGTATTCTCTCCCGGTCCCAGAAACCCCGGACCCGGACCTCAATTCCGGATCCCGCCAGACTCGGCTTGGCCACTTGTTAAGTGTTAATGAAATAATTATGCCAACTTTGCCCGGTCCAGCCACTGGCCTTACATGGCCCATTCCGCCCCCACTATGTATACAAACACTGTGAAAAAAATGGAATTACTTTGTTATTAATTAGCATCAACCTAGTTGATAGAATCTTGGAAAAATATGGTCCAACAACTATTGTATAAATACTTTCTATAAAAAAAAGAAAATATTGTGGTCTTCTTTGTGATATAACTTCTTAGATTTTAAAGTTTAAAATTGCGATTGACATTTTTTTAAGTGTAATCACTTTTATATTGTATTCTTTAGAAATTCTTTAATAAATTTAACATGCCTCGTTCTAAACACTTGGCGATCACGTTTAGAAGATCTCTCTAATTATCAACAAAATATTTTCGCTTATTTATAAATCTGTACTGTTCTTTAAACAATATCTTTAAAAATAATTTTAAGGTTTTTAAACAATTTTTAAATAAGGTTGAGCATAAACTAATTTTTAAACAGTTAATTATAAGTTTAAGGAGCTAAAATAATGTATAGTCCTGAATTTTTATAAAATCAACTATAGATTTACTAAATATGTAAGGTTGTGTAGTTGTTATGAACTTAGGGTATGCATATTGTATTAATATTCTTTATATCACAAAGCTTTCTTTTTTTTTTGATCAGTGCTATAAGCAAGGACACTCCCCTCTGGAGAGCCTGTGGGTCAGAGGCATGCCATCCCTGCAGCCACTTCAGTTTTATTGTTCCCCTCAGCGCCAAGTTGGGAACAATGAAGTGTGAGCTGGACTGTGCCATCCAGTGCCCCCTGGCCCCGTTGGCCCCTTGCTTATTGCTTTTTTTAATTCGATAAACTGCCCTCTGAAGACTCTGAGGAGCACTGGCAGCGACCTTGGTTTTGTGGCGCCCGAAAGCCTAAAAGCAGGCAGCGCTTTTGTGCCGCAGAGGCTTTCAAACGCCTAAGCCGCTTAATTACAACGAGTCGGGGGCACCAGAGTTTGCCAGCTATTTGCTTAAGACGCGAAAATGTGATTAACAAGTGTGAAAAGCCGCCCGGTTCTCCCTTCATTTTTTCTTCTTTCCGTTTCTGCATGTCTTGTTTCCAAGTTTCTTGCCGAGTTTGGGTGGAGTTTAATTTTGCTTGAATAACTTTAATTGATTTAGTTTGGCAGTGTGTGTGTTTGCTGGGGTGAAAAGGTGGGCTTTCAATTAATTAAAAATTACAATGATTTTGTTTTATTCATTTTTAAAAAGACTGCAAAACATTTTCGAATATATAAAAACCAAGCTGTCAAAAAGTATGCAACAATAAGTTTTGGAAGCAAAATTCATTCTGATAAATTCAATTTGTAAGAGAGTCAAAATCTGCCAAGTGGGCCACCCCTGTTCCGAAGGTCCGATTTTCATCGAACTTTTTTACTTTTCCGGTTCACAACGAAAATATAAGAACTTCATTTGAACGGTTTTGCGAAATTTTGAGTTTTACCGG